AACAAAATGTTGCTAAGTAAACTTAATAATTGGTATTTAGAAAATTGATAAAGTTATAAAACTAAAAACTAATTGCATTTATTTTTGCCCCTAATGTAAACCTCACAGGGGCCCGGTTTAAATTGTAGATAGTAAATCAATTAAAGTTGTAAAGGAAACAAAGTTCAAGATACAGTAAAAGTTGAGCACTCGTAAAGAGCACTCGTGCTGAGTGCAGTGTAACACTAATAGCTCTTTCTCCATGTGGAACTGGGGTAGAATCTGTCCTCAGCTCCCTAGATGCTGGTAGTAAGAAGCGATGAAATTGGGAAAACCTGTTTGCCTTGGGTTGCACTTGTGTCGGTAGATAACATGATTCTGTTTGTTGAGGGCACAGGAGCCAGGAACAATGTTCCTTTTGCATACTTAAGTAGGTATTAATATAATTACATGCAGTAGGATGTCAAGGCAGGACATTTGAAGTCACATTGGCCACAGCAGATTATATCATATAGATATATAAAAAGGTGAGGATCCTCCATTTTGTATCCCATCCCATTTACCATTGCTTTGAAACCATAGCCCTTAACGGTTAAGTATATCCAGCCTGACGGTATTGCTTTTTCGTTAAAACAGTATTTATACAATAATAAAGACAATACATTAGAAAGACAATACAGAACGAACAAAAAGGAATGGCAAACAGGCCAAACTAGGCAACTTAAACAATTAAACAAAATTAAGAGAGTGCAAGAAGGATGTATATTTTAATGAGGCAATTTCCAAAACGAGTTTGTACTTATTTTATTCCATATGTTATTAACAAAACGTTTGGAGTTAATTCTGAAATAATAAATGGATTTAAGAAGTAATTCTGTATCAGTATTGGATAAGTTGTCTTTGTCATTGAGTATTTCGTCAACAGAGAATCCATTGCGGTAGAAGTACTGGTTATGTCTAATGTTACAAGTACTATATAACTGGCAGAAAAATAAAGAAGTCTTAGATACCTTCTGTGAAAAATCCACACTGGCATGAACTGTTTTCTTTTATATGTCTTTCGAACTGGTGTAAGTTTAAATCGCTACATCCTAGTGTCAGTTTGGACATGATGATTTGGAAAAAGTGCGTGCCAAAGTTAAAGTAGTTTACAGCTCTGGGATTACTCGTAAGATATAATGATTTAGACAATGATTGAATAGATTCGTCCAGATTATTCCAGTCTTGTATGACTGATGGAAGAAAATAATTAGAGTGTTGTACTAGTATAGTTTTTTCTAGCTGAATATCTCTTGTATTAGGAAGGCAATAGTGAGTTTTGTGACCGACGTTTTGTGAAGCACGTCTTGTTAAGTACTCTAGTGTTAAGTTATGTAGGATCCTATAACAAAAATACAAATCTTATGATTCTTTCTTCTTTCACCCGTGAAGGTCCGGGTTAGAATATTGATCTTCAGTAACCCATGCTTGTCGTAAGAGGCGACTAACGGGAACGGGTGGTCAGGTTCGCTGTCTTGGTTAACACATGCCATCGGTTCCCAATTGTGCAGATCGATTATCATGCTGTTGATCACTGGATTGTCTGGTCCAGACTCGGTTATTTACATACCCTCGCCATATAGCTGGAATATTGCTGAGTGCGGCGTAAAACTAACCTCACTCACTCACACTCACTTTCTTCTTTCAAAGAGAGATGCATGGTATACCAGTTTCTTCGTATAATCTTTAATGACTTGGTACCCCTGACGGCCCCACATATGGTACGAGGAGCATCAAGGTGTCATTTTTCTGGAACTAGTCCTTGTTCTTGTGTGCAATTTTTCCAAATGAAGTCACAGTAGTCAAAAAGGATGCATGATTCATACAGTCTTTCTTAGCAGTTTCTGTTCAGTTTCTATTTAAGACTCTGTAATCAGTTTATCATAGTATTACTTTTTTTACTAGATATTCGATTTGCATATCCCATTTACCATGGCCTTGAAACCATAGCCCTTAACGGTCTATTTTATCCTGCCTAACGGTATTGATTTTTCCATCATGAGGCACATAAGTTTCAAATTACACCAATGATGGATCCTTTTTCTAAAATAAGTGTTCATCTAATTATTGTTCTTTTAAAGGAAATTGAGTCAATTGATCAGTTTTGGTGTAAAGTATTACTTGATATAGGTAGTATGTGATTATTCACTTAGTTGCACGTGGCAGTTCGATGGGGGTTAAAGTACTGTAACAGTTGTTGGCTCTATCCAGCCTACTTTTATGTTGTATTGTATTCTACAGTTGTACGTGATAGTTATATATTCATATCTGTGAAATCTAGTTGTTTTAGACCTCCTGAGAGGGAACGTAAGTCCCAAAACTCTCAAAGTAAATTTCAAACTTACCAGGATTTTAAGCGTAGAAATTTTGTGATTTTAATTATGGCTAAATTTTGACTACAATCGCCGGCTGCTGAAGGGATGATGTAAATCCAACTAGGGTCCATGCAGATAGCAAAAGTACTGTAAGTCCCCATGGTCCTTAGTATGGTGATCAACTTTCAGTTGCTGGGGATCTATAGCCTGTTCTTATATTGTACTGTTGTCTCTCGTGATATATTTTTATGATAGCGTACTAGTTTTAAATTAAGAGCTGTTATAATCTAGTACTTTTACTTTCCTTTGATGACAGGTTTTTACGTTTACATTTATTGATTTGAATATTGATATCAACTGTTCTCGTCACGATATAGCTTTAATATTGCCGATGTGACGTTAAATTTTAACTCTCTCACTCACTCTAGTTGTTTTACTGTCCTTCGTTGACAGGTCTACCTTTCTTTCTTGGCGATCTATAGCCTGTTTCCATATTGTGTCGTTAAAAATTGTATGTAGTAGTATTGTTCTATGTCTCAATGTTATTTTGCTGTAAATATGTGACAACCTAGCTCTTTTGAATCCTTTGTGGAACGGGTTGGCATTTATTTAAAATTATCGATTACATGGGTCATTATATTTGTATTTTAATTTTGCTTCCCAGTTGAAATAATTTCATATGCTGAAATACACATTAAAAGATCCGTTGTAGGAAAATTTGTTGCTTGCTACTTAAAACTATGCTTTTTCGTTATGGGTATATCTTAGGGAGCAGTTCAAAAGTTGAATATTTAATTACATATCTGTTCCACGACTTTTAAACATCTCTACCACAAAGTATACGTTAAAAGTGTCGTCAAAGTAAATGATAAGGTGTAAGGAAAACAAGTATCACAGAAGATTATTCAACTGTCATGATCTTTCTTGTTTTCAATCTTCGCCTACTTTTGTATACTGAGTTAAGCTATAAATCTTAAATTTCCCGATTACTTTCAATGGCAACATTTAAGTAGTGCTCCCTAAGTGGTAATCCGATATCATTTAATGAGACAACGGGGTCAACTGGCATCAGGTGACACATTTTACAGTGAAATATATATAGATAATCTATGTACTTACCTAGATGGCATTACTTAGAAAGGATACATTTTAGTAAAAACGAACCCTGGCACGTATCTTTTTTAAAAGCAAAATGATTTGAGGTTTGTTTTGTTTTGTTGTTTTCGGGGTGTTTTGTTTACTTAACCAGACTAAAATACATCATGCAATCTGTTCTTCACGATGGATGGATGGATGGATTTTCAGTACTGTTGATGAAGATTAAGTGACATTGTCTTGGATTTCAATAATTAAAAAAATCTTCAGCATACTGTATTAACACAGACACATTCGGAGGTAAAATACGTTGTGCTGGCAAAGTGAGCGAGTGGGTGAGTGAGTATGTTTTTACGCCACTTTTAGCAATATTCCAGTAATAACGTGGCGGGGTACATCAGAGATTGGCTTCATACATTGTAACAATGTGGGGAATCGAACCCGGGTCTCCAGAGTGACGAGCGAACTCTTTAACAATTAGGCTACCCACCGACCACTGGCTAAGATCAGTCCTCGCAGGTGAGGTTTGTATAGGAGCCCGCACCTACACTCTTAAGTCTCTCACTGTGATGAATCAGACACATTTTCTGAAACATATTATGAATGTACTATTTATGTTAGATATAAAACTGGAAAACCAACACCATAATGCGTAACATGCATCGTAGACAACGTTAATATTCGATTTTCAGTAGATTTCAATCATTATGTTTAACACAAATCATTTGTTACCCTAAGTCTATTGTACGTTAAAGTAGAATATGCATTGAAAATGCAAATACAATTTGACTAAATTACATTCTGTATGACTGAATTGAATCTCTTCTTCGCTATCATTTCACCAGATTTACAGGATTTCATTTTAACATGGATTTCCTTTCCTCAAGAGAAAAGAATCACTTCCACCTCGATCATAATAACCAACCCATAGTTAACAGAAGAACACTGAAGCTGATTCGGCGACCCATCACATTGGTAATAGATTTCACCAGAATGAACATAACATGACAAAGTATATGCCACTTAGATACTGATACTATTTGTACAACTAGTACTTTACAAATTCTAAATGTGTACGAGGCGACTAACGGGTGGTTAGACCCGTTGACTTGGTTGACAACATTTCCTCGATTCCCAAGTAGTTCGATGCCCATGGTGTTGATCACTGGATTGTCTGGTCTAGACCTGATTATGTACAAACATATGGCCGGAGTATTGTCGTGTGGTTAATATTCTTTAATCGTTCTTGACTTTTGTGTTTAATGTATTATAATTTCAATAATATAGATCTCTTCGAGAAGTTTTCTGTAAATGAGTAACAATTTTATTCGTTCCCATGGTTACATTAAGTTATTCAAACTTCAGTTCGTTGGTTTTTATCAAATATTTGTCAAAGTGTTTCTTTCAAAGATTTCAGAAAATTTCAAATGCATAACTTAACAGGGTGACATTATGACTGAAATACTGACGTTAACTTTGAGTTTCCTTACGATTAAGATACAATTATGTATTCTAGCTTATCATGTATGTTGACTATCTCGGTACAGATAACAGTACAACCTGCATAACATATGCCAGTCTCCCGGACAGACCTTAAGGTAGTGCCGTAGTGCCACTGCACTATACAGTCAGACATTCACTGACCCAGGATAATGTTTGGGTTCGGGGTGTTCATCATTGCTTTGATGTTTCTGACATCGTCGTTGGGGAAGACGGTGGAGTTGTATGTGTCCCCCACTGGTTCCGACTCCAATACTGGGTACGTCCATTTCTACTACAAGTCCGATAAGGGCAGCCTTCAGTAGACACATGGAATCTAACTGAAATTAGATAAGGATGACGAAGCATTTGTTTGTTGTTTAACGCTGCACTCAGCAATATTCCAGCTCTGTGGTGGCGGTCTGTATCTGTAAATAGCTGAGTCCTGACCAGACAATATTATGGTACCAGAACAGATTACCTTGTAACAGTGAATGAGAGAGTATTGTTATACACATATTTTAGCAATATTCCTGAAATATCAGACATCGGCTATTGTCTTCACACATTTTAACCATGTGGGGAATCGTACCCGGGTCTTCGGCAAGATGTCATGCCATGTGACGGGGTTAATTGTCGTCACGGCGTAGAACGTTGTTCATAATATCTGCCACGGGATTGCCCGGGCCCCATTTCACAAAGCGACAGTAACGGTAGGATTGTCGTACGTCATATACCATAACACTGGCTTACAACAATCGTAGCATTATGGTCGCTGTGCGATGCGGGTCTCTTGTCAAGTGTTTAGAGGTCGTCTTTGTGTTCCTCAACGGCGTGTGCGTGTGCGTGTGCGTGTGCGTGTGCATGCGCGTGTGTATGAATGTGTATGTCTTCCTTATGTCATCAAGGTGCACATGGCATGTAAAGGTAACGCGTGTACTTTTTATATCTACTACGAAAAGACGTTCACTTTGTACATGAGGTGCCCTTGGTAGGTATATACAAGAAAGAGTGAGAGAGTATGTTTTTTTACGACGCATTTAGCAATATTTCAGTAATATCACGGAGGGGACACCAGAATGGCCTTCACATATTGTATCCATGTGGGGATTCGAACCATTTTCTTCGGCGTGACGGGCGAACGCTTTAACCTTAGTTAGATAAAGTCCCTACCTTAGAAAGACTGTGCACAGCGTTGAACAACAAACCAACAACAAAATTACATCTACCAAGTACAGAAGGTTCAGGTGGTATATGTGTAATGAGTGAGTTTAGGTTGACGCCTCACTCAGCAATATTCCATCTATATGGCGGCGGTCTGTAAATAGGTAAGCGAGCCTGACCACCTGATCCCGTTAGTCGTCTCTTACGACAAGCATGGGTTACTGAAGGCACATTCTAACCCGGACCTTCACCGGGTTCAGGTGGTATGTAACGGGTATACACATGGTAGGTATATACATTTGTCATCCAAAACTGTGGTCAACAGGAGATATTGCTTGTGTGAGATCAAACGATATCACCTAGGATATATCGTTTTGACAGATTTTGTACAATGCCCTGACATTGATATGACGTCATGAACTTGATGACGTCGCAATGCTATGACGTCGCTGCAATGCAAGTCTAATGGCAGTGCCGTGTTCAGAGATGTACATTTTTCACTGAAGACTAATGAAGAGTGATTTTGGATGATAAATAGAATCTCAAGTCAAAGTCAAAGGTGTTTTATTGTATCAAAGGCCATCAGCCCATATACAAGTTTACGTAAATACACTGGTTGAGAATAGTAGATTAGTAGATACAGTGGAAGAAATAAACATATAACATTCATTTAACAATTTGTGGTAAGCAGAAGGACTTTTTAGAGTAAGGTAAGTCTGAAATCCCATTCAACAAGTTATTTCTCCATTCCATGTTTTACAAATAGTAATTTAAATATTACATCGGCATCATTCGATGACAAAATAGTTTTCTACCACTGATGACAAACGTTCTGGTATATATTTAGTTCACATAATAAGGATATTCAAAGGTAAAATGTATTTCGTGTTCTATAGCCATCCAATTCTTTGATTCTTTCAAGATATTTTCTTCCATAATTAATCCTTTGACAAGCCAAGTGCTATTTAATATATATATTTCTTAGCTGTTTGTTAAACTAATAAATATTTTTCCTCTAATGGATTTTAAACGTTTTGTAAAGATCAACGTAACTGGGTTGGATTATCCTCTAGAACATATTTCTGTCTTAGTCATTTAGACGGAATATAGATCGCATCTTATTGATTAAACCATACACAACCCATATCCATGTGAGAATAATTGACCTTATAATCGACACAACCTCAATACTGTATCAAGATGAAAGAGCATGTTATAAGCTATTTTCGGAAGCCGATGTTCTGGCATATGGATGGTATTAAACAAATATTTTAAACACTGTATTTGCGAATTAATGTAGAGTGGGTATCTTCCACATTCCCAATATATCATATTATTTGGAGTTGCTAATCCAACAAAAAGAAACTTTTTACATGCCAGTAGGTGAATTCTTTCTAAACATTCAAATCTTTGGTAACCCCACACTTCGGATCCATACAATAGAATTGGTTGTATTTGGGTATCAAATAATTTGAAAAATACTTTAGGTGTGATAACTCCAAGTTTATGCGAAACCGGCATCATATTAAGTAAAGCTCGTTTCCCTCGCAGTGATAGGTCAGAAACACATTTGTCCATATTTAGTGTTGAATTAAACTTTATACCAAGATACTTATAACCATTAACTACATTAATTCGTTGTCCATTTAAGTACCATCTCTCCTTAAAATTTAAAGGGCCTCCCTTTCCGAAAACTATAATTTCTGTCTTATCTAAATTTACAGATAAATTCCATTCCTTAGTGTATTTATCTAATACATTCAACTGATTCTGTAGACCAATAACTGTGTCAGATAGTAAAATAACATCATCGGCAAAAAGGAGCATAAGGATTTCTAGGATGTCAGGATACATCTGTAAACCATGCTTACCATTACTTGAAATTTCATAATACAATTCGCTAATGAAAAACGAAAATAACAGAGGACTCAATATACATCCCTGACGTAAGCCGGACAGGCAATCGAAAAAATTTGTAACACCATAGTCACTACGTACACATGATTTGATATTTGAATACATTGATTTTAGTATATGAAACATCTTCCCTTGTAGACCAGCTTTTCTCAAACAACACCATAATTTATAACGATCAACTGTATCAAATGCTTTTTTAAAATAAAAAAAGCAACGTATAATTTGTGTTTACGACATGATAAACATTTCTGAACTACAGCATATAAAGTAAAAATGTGATCTATGGTTGAATAATTTTTTCTAAAACCGGCTTGAACTTCCGGTATCTTATCTCTCATATTGGCCCAGTTAGTAAGTCTTTTATTTAAAACAGCAGTAAAAACTTTCCCAAGGACACTCATTAATGATATCCCACTATAGTTGTCAGGGTCTCTCGGATCGCCTTTTTTATGTAAAGGGACTATTTCTGAACAAGACCAACTGCTGGGAAATATTTGATTATCAAAGAGTTTGTTGAAATATTTATGGAGAAAAGGCATTATATCAAAATAGGAACATTTAAGCAAACCTATCAGCACTTGATCGGGTCCGGCAGATTTTCCGTTTTTCAACTTGTTTATGGATGATGTTATATTAGAATTTAGAATGAATGCATCAATATATGTGAACTGATCTGAAAAGATAACATCTTCATCATCCAAGTGAGGAGAAAAAACATTGTTATTTGCAAAAACATGTTTAAAATGGTAAAGCCATTCTGTTTTCGTTATAAGATTCTTCTGTTTGGGTTTGTTTTATAATGATCTGATCTGTTTCCAAAAGCTAGACTGACTATGTATGCTTCTATGCAATCTTTCTACTGATTTCTTACGTGAAATGGATTTATATTTTCTGCAACAAAATTTATAATGATTTCTTTGTCTACAATATGTTATTCTGTTAGCGACAGTACTTTGTGTTCTAAATCTCCTAAGTGCCCTACGTGTTTCTCACCCAATCACACCCTCGTGTCTTCTGATATCAAATATATCAACGCTCGTTGATAAAAGTTAAAATTTGTAACTTTATCAACTCGTGTTGATATAATAGATGTCAGAAGACACTTGGATGAAATTCTTTAGAAATTCCATGAGGTATCTCACCAAAGTCGTACCTGTTCTCATTGTTTTACCACTGTGCCCACCCACCCTCACACACGCAGGTCAGATGTACACCATCCAGTGAAGACTCTCCCAAGAGTGCTTCAGCTGTTAGAAACACCCGGGATAAAAGGAAACAGTAAGGGGCATTATGTCTATATTCCTGTCTTAGTTGTAACGGAAAACAGCATCTTATTATAACTGTAACATTAGCCTGTATATTTCTATACCTCAACACAAGATGTATCGATAAGGAGTCGAAGTATAAACCCTATAGTAGTCATCACTGCTTATACCTAAATATATATGAATATATCTACCCAGAATATAAGGTTAAGCGCCAGCCTATTTCAAAACTAAGATGTGATGTTGTGGAAATGTTAGGCTAAAATAATTGGGAAGACCAATCTATATTTAGAGAAGGTTCATCTGGTATAGAGATATCATAATCATTTGTATTTTCAATTAAAGGAAATACAGTATTGTTAAAGATATGATGGAACTGCTTTTTAAAGCAAAATAACTATCCCTATTCTGCTTAAACTTAGGTTTCACTCGTCAAAAATGACAATCATGTGACCATATAACAGTCATTTCTGATTGTAAAAGCTAATTTCAATAATGGTTTTGTTTTTAAACTGAAAAGTACTAAACCAACTTATGATGGGAGTTTTATTCGGAAAGATTTCCTATCAGACAACGTATATTGGCAAAATATACGGGGTGGCGCTCAACTTATTTATTCTAAGTATATTATGAATATGGATGGGTTAAGTACTGCAACCTCCACCGTTGTACGCATTATCTTGTAAGACGTGTGGAGATTTAAATGTTTTTTTCCGAACATGTAGTGCCATTGATTGCAAATCTTATTCCAATTATAAACCACCTTTGACCTTACCGGCGCACCATATGCACTATCTTAATCTAGCGATTATATATACTGACAGCTATCAACGTTGAGATGATGAAGGGGTATTATGACCTCCCGGCAACGCTTCACTTCACACATGGGTACCAGTCTCCGGTCACCTTCAAGGCATACCAAGGACAGGAGGTGCACGTGGTATGTATGTTTACCAAGGACAGGAGGTGCACGTGGCATGTATGTTTACTAAGGACAGCAGGTGCACGTTGTATATATGTTTACCAAGGACAGGAGGTGCACGTGGTATGTATTTTATCAACGACATACGACTATGTAAAATTCATCATTTTACAATTATTGACCAAACAATTCCAACAGCTCCAGCCTTTGGTTTTTACATTTCACAACTTTTGAGGTACAGTCGCGTTCATTTTATCAGGATTTCAAAAGCGTCATGCCACTCTTGCTCAGAAGATGTTTGATCAAGATTACAACATTCAAGACCTCAGTAAAGCTTCAAGACGTTTTATGGTAGACATGTGGATGAAACACCAAAGTTGGATACATCAGTGACAAATATGATGACCGATGCAGTTCCCTATTCTGACTTGTACCATACGTCCCCGAATTATTTCAGGTCAACAACTGACTAGACTTAGCATATGTTTATGTTTATCCTTTAAAGAAAAACGCAATAGAAACAACTTCTTCAGCAATTCGTGTACTTGACGATGATGGTATGAAACTGATTGCGTTGGTTTAGACAGGAGGACGACGTCTTCCCGTCAGTCAGTTCAAGGGCATCACAGACCAATCGCTCCTCCGAATGTGGAACAATGACGCTCGAACACGTGTAAGTAGCTAGCTGTTGAATTGGACCTGAATTGCAGCACTGCCCAGTTCATTAAAGTCATGTTTACTGTCTAATTTGTAAAGATAATTTGAATGCATCTAGGAACTATAATTTCATGCTGCGTAATGACAGTTTCGTCCTTATGAGTTCAATTTTAATGTTTGAATACTTGTTTGATAAGATCAAACAGATTCACCTGCCATCAGTGGGAATCACCAACTATGGTCATTTGTCCTCCTATGGCTGGTACGTCTACAGACAGGCCCCCTTGGAGCTGTTCATCAATGGTGAACCCCTCACCCTGGCCAGGTGGCCGAACCACGTAAGACACGTACACCAGACATTGAGTAATGGATCGGAAATGGACCAGTTTCCGAGGAGCAAAAGTGTAAAAACTAATAGCAATTAGGCGTGTTACAAACATTGCTAAGCTTATCCAGTTGGAAGGGGCGGTGGGGTAGCCTAGTGGTTAAAGGGTTGGCTCGTCACGCAAACATTACTGGGCTTATCCAGTTGGATGTGTTGTTACAATCACGTCAGTTAGTGAGTGAGTATGGTTTTTCGCCGCTTTTAGCAAAATTCCAGCAATTATCAAGGGACACCAGAAATGGGCTTCACACATTGTACCCATGTGGGGAATCGAACCCGGTCTTAGACGTGAGATGTGTACACCTAAACCACTAGGCTACCCCATCACCCCAACAAGCACGCCAGGAGACAATGATCAAAATATTGTCAGTAAAACAAACACAAAACAATGCTTAAATGAGTTAAGTAATTAATCAGAAACGGACCATTTTTGTGTAAATAAATATGAAGTCTATAAACAATGTGTGACGAAAATACAAATACTTATCCCACTGAATGTATCGTCGCAGTCACGTGATCAACATATTTTAGAGGAAGTCAAAATGAGTCAAAATTATGCAACCTTACGTGTGTTGTTTCAACATATTAACGTTGATTCACCCCTGCAGGAATTTATGTATATCACGGCTGTGCCAGATGAGGTGAGGTGACCTCACGGGTATTATTTCCACGTGTTAACGTTGATTCCCACCTGCAGGATTTTATAGATATCACGGCTGTGCCAGATGAGGTGAGGCGACCTTACGTGTATTATTTCCACGTGTTAACGTTGATTCACTACTGCAGGACTTTATAGATATCACGGCTGTACCAGATGAGGTGTGGTGACCTCACGTGTATTATTTCCACGTGTTAATGTTGATTCACTACTGCAGGACTTTATAGATATCACGGCTGTGCCAGATGAGGTGAGGTGACCTCACGTGTATTATTTCCACGTGTTAATGTTGATTCACCACTGCAGGACTTTATAGATATCACGGCTGTGCCAGATGAGCATGGATACCAGTTCTCATACAACACGAACCGTGACTCGAGGTGGGCAAATGAAAAAGAACCATGGGCATATGGATTCTGGTGAGTCTTTCTCACCCTGCAATGTAAACGACCTTTCCACTTTAAGATAATCACTTAACAAAAATAGTACATTTGTTCACGAACTGTTTTAATGGTCACATTCGTGTGAGGCTTATAATTACGTCACATTACCCGCTCCTGAGTTGACCAATCAAAGACCGCCTTTCATATCGCAGGGATGTTTCTGCCTTCATGTCTTCAATAACAAATAATAGTAAACGTTTAATTTCTATCACATCAGATCCAACCCCATATGTGCTTAACATTTGTATAAGTGAGTGTCTAATGCTTCACTAGGTACTGGAGCTGGGCGGACCTGTCGTTGAAGATAAGTAGAATAGATACTGGGAGCCACACCATCACTCTCGCTGCTAAGGATCGCCATGGCATGCGGCCCGGTTAGTTTCAGTGAGTGAGTGAGTTAAAATGTAACGTCACGTCGGCAATACGTTGTGTGTGTGTGTGTGTGGGGGGGGGGGGGACTTGATCTTGGGTTCAATTCGGGTTCGGTATATTTAGATTGACATTTTCTGTTTGTTCCTTTCACAATAATGGTAACCATCTAAGATTTGTATCGCTGTAGGCTTGTTTCAACATTAAACCGACTCCCGCAGGAATACTGTTCAAAGTGGTGTTAAATCTCCCACTCACTCACTCACTGTCTTTTCGCTATATGGGTTGGGTTGAACAATGCCGAGACGAAATTGATGTTTGACTCACTCACCGCTTGCAGCAGTTTTATAAGTTTGGAGACCGAATGCACGTAATGACAATGGAGTAAAATAACATTATTGCTGTGTGTATGCTTGGCTGGTTTACTTGTTGTTTAACGCCGCACTCAGCAATATATTCCAGCTAAATGGCGGCGGTCTGTATGTAATCGAGTCTGGACCAGACAATACAGTGATCAACAGCATGAACATCGACTTACGCATTTGGGATACGATGACATATGCCAACCAAGTCAGCGACTCTGACCACCCGATCCTTTTAGTCGTCTCTTACAAGCATGGGTTGCTGAAGATCAATTCTAACCCTGATCTTCACGGGTACGATGCGTGTAAACAGAGTATATGCTGCCTTTATTCTGACAGGTGTCTACAACCACGGCAACTTGACTGGAATCACCTCACAAGGCGGCTACTTCCGGGTGATAAACATGCTCTCGGAAATTGACGAGCCCGTGAGTTTTACACTGGACATTGTGCTTAAACATAGAACGTTGTTCATCCACAAAGCGTTCGTAAGTCAATGATATAATATAGAGTTACGGTAGGTCGTAACGTTACGAACCCTTTGTGGATCGGGAGCCAAGAGTGACATGCACAAACCGATCCAAGACTGCACTCTTTGACATAGATTTACGCTTGCTTAACGCCAAGTGAGTAAGGTTTTACGTCGCTTTTAGCAATATTCCAGCAATATCACGGCGGGGCACCCGAAATGGGCTGTTGGTTGGTTGGTTGGTTGGTTGGTTGTTTAACGCCGCACTCAACAATCATTGTCCAGGAACGTCAATCATTGTGTACTTTGTTGCAGGCAGGTTCGGGGATTCTGTGACGTCAATACACCGATAGGTTCGCTGACGTCATCAGATGTTGTGTACTTTGTTGTAGGGGAGTACTAACTCGACAGAAGTACGGGGATTATGTACGCGTGGCCCAATACACCGACAGGTTCCCTGACGTCATCCGATGTTGTGTACTTTGTTGTAGGGGGAGTACTACCTAGACAGAAGTACGGGGATTCTGTACGTGTGGCCCAATACACCGACAGGTTCGCTGACGTCATCAGATGCTGTGTATGCGTCAATGATTGATGACTGTATCAGGTAGGTTTCGTTTGGTTTGGTTCTTGTTTTACGCCGCACACAACAATATCCAGCTATATGGCGGCAGTCTGTAAATAATTGAGTCTGGACCAGAAAGTTCAATAATCAACTGCATAAGCATCGGGTATCCAAGTAGGTCTCATTACATCATGGAATTGTCAACAAGTTTATGAGTTCCTGCCCTATAGTTCTTCAAATGGGATTTTTACACAGCACAACTCCAACGATTAGTGTTTTATAAATGCGCATTTACCCTTCTCACCAAAGATGTTTTCCAGACTGGATCCCGGCGTGTCCAACCTGAGGTTTGAGGACTTCACCCTGGAAGCCTGTCGAAAATTCGGAATCAACGCCCAAAACGTCTCCAATGTAGAACTGCGGCAACTTGAGCTGAAAAATACAGGTAACGAATTGGCAATCGATTCAGTGACGCACAATGAACTTATAATATTTATATTTTCCCGTTTTCATATTATACTAGAACATAGGATTCAAACATTGTCCAGCGTGAGAAATCAGAACAGGATCTTCAGCGTGCCGCACGGAAGATTAAGCTACACTGATATCTTATCTCAACACGTTTCAGGTACATGCAGATGAAAGCAAAGTATTCCTACACCTTCCTACAGTCACGCTTTCTCTCACGCCTAATAACACTTTCACCCATTTCTACTTTTACTTTCACTCATTCTTACAATTACCTCACTCACTCACTCACTCACTCACTCACTCACTCAGTTGACGAATACAGTTAACTCACAACTAGTCCGCTTAGGACCGGGCGAAGGAATTTGAGTAACTGTGAATGGAGTAAAGATTTGTCAGCCACAAATAATGGACTTTACACATTGCCCCATGTAGGATGGCCTGTCTCCTAGAGAAAATGCAGAAGTGAGTCTAGTTTAGAGTGCAAGTCAGATTTAGACAACATTAAGAAACTGTTATGGTCTCTTTTTTATTTTGTTAACTTTTTGTGGATATGGGTTGTATGATCCCCAGGGAGTTGAGATTGATATCCAGTGACCGAAGGAAAAACAAAGCGTTTTAGAGCAGCTGAGCTGGATATCGGCGCTTTACCAATGTTAGAATAATCAAAAATATAATATGTTATTATATCGAAGAAAATGTCAACACGTGGAACATCGAATCAGGATTGTCAGCGCGACGAGCGCATCCTACACAACATCTTCAAAAAATATTTTGGAATGAGACCATGGATCCTTCACACCTTCATCCTTCCATCACCCATCCTACAATCACGCCATTCTTTGGTAACCACTTAAATATGTTCTCCTTCACAAACCCCCTTTTCTCTCTCCCCTTCTATTTAGCCATTTACCAACGAACATGTATTCCAGGTTCCTACGTGTTCCACTGTGGAGAAGACGCCTTCCAACACTACTACAGCCACAGCTTCACTTATACCTAGTCACGCCTTTACTCACGCCTTCAATAATATCTTGACACGTCTTCACTCGCATCTAGTGACGCCTTCAATCAATATCTAGTCTTTACTCACGACTTTGCTTAAATCTAGTTACGCCTTTACACATATCTAGTCACGCCTTCACTTCTACCTACCTCCAAACACTCCCCAGCCACGCCTTGACTCATGCCTTGTCAAGTCTTCACTTATTCCTACTTTAATTCCTACAGTCATTAAAGCATTCTCACACCTTCATTTACATCCAATAACGCAGTCATTCTGCAATCACATCTTAATTCCTTCCTAGTTATTACAGTCACATTTGTTTCACCTTCTTCACTACCCTTTTCACAATGTCCTTTTCTCTCTCCCTTTTTCATTTAGTCATTTACCAAAGAGCATGTATTCCAGGTTCCTACGTGTTCCACTGTGGAGGAGACTGTCGGTCCGTCACTGTGTCCAGGTGTGAAATACACGACGGTGACGGAGGCATTGAAATATTTGGTAATTATTGTCGCTAGTATTTGTCTCATAGACAAGAATGTTCCGGTGTGAGTTTAGTTTGTATTACCAGCTGACGGTGTATTATCCATTGATTTCTATTGTAAATTACAAAAGTACCTTTTCAACTCAAAACCACTAATTCCCTACACATGAATCTAGCTGAAATATATTTCTTAAGGCGGTGACCCTCTCAACCTTGTTGGAGACATCGAATGATCTGAATTGAAGATTATATACTTGTAACTGGCAAACTAATTTCCTACACATCAACCATACACTGTAAGATGAAACATATTTTTTTAGGCGGTGACCGTGTCAACCTGATCGCCTCCGGTAACGTGGTTGAAGACAACCACATATGGAGGTACAGTCGGGAGGGAGCGGTTGGACAGAACGCAGTGCACAGTGTTGGTGTCAACAACCTCATACGATACAACCACATCCACGACGGACAATATGCTGCCATCAGGTTCGACGTATGTCCTTCCTGAATTTCTGTTCGAGAAAGAAAAACATTTGCTGTGAAAGATGAAAATATAATGAAGAATTGTAGGATTGAAATTAGTTTTGGAAATCAAAACGAAGTGTCAAATTACAATAATATACATGCCTCATACTGACGGCTTGATACGTGTATTATTCACTTGTATACGTGTGCAACTACATCGTCGAAACGTTCATGAAGTCACTTACGACGTGGTTCCAAAAAATAGAATGACTACACGGATGACAATGCTATCAAGTTTATCTTCTTTTTTGCTAAAACGTAATCTATAGAGTATATATGGAATTGACTGAAATTCTTTCAAACAAGTTTAGAAGTGAATCAATCTTGATTCTTATATCTACTAGCACTGCCTGCAACTAATATGCACTATACTATCTTACTCATATCTTGGTCTCCAGGGTAACGACCACGTGATGGAGTATAATCACGTCCACCACAACTGCCTCAATGCCAGCGATTGTGGTGCTTTCCATGCTACGAGGAGTTGGTCCTTTGTGAGTCCTCATCTTCCTTGCATGTCATCCCTGTTATTTTTACTGGATAAAATTTCACAAAGTTCATTTAGGTTTGACGCTGGTTTAAGCAACATTATTTTGATTAAGATAGCAATATAATATACTAGAAGGCTAGGAAAAGAACAAGGTGCATCCATTCACCATTGTAACGAAAAATACGGAATAGTACTAAAAGAGCAAGGATTACAATCTTGCCCAATCTGGAATTCACACCAGCAGTCATTGGAGTGGTATAAACATGAGAATCGCGAACTGCCCACGACACATATTGTTGTATTATTGACCCATGTAGGGTAGGTATCCTGTCTCCTTGAGGATATACAGAGGTGAGTCCAAGTGCAAGTCAAATGAAGGCAAGTGATTGAAGTGATTGTCAGAAGCACACGGGGACGCGTCGGTAGCACCGTGTATTTGGAATAAAGAGTAACCTCCCCTAGTTGTATATGGTTGTTCGAAATATTTTGGAATCCAGTAGTCTCTTGAAGTCCGTCTGTATCTGGGTAAGAGCGACTTGAGGCGTTTTCGACCTGACTTGCTCTTTGTCTACCTGCCGAGTGTGATTAGATGCCTCCCTGTAAAATATGGTGGCTGATTAGGGCTATCGCTTTCTCGTCTCGTACTATCGCTTTCTCGTCTTGTGCTATCGCTTTCTCGTCTCGTGTTATCGCTTTCTCGTCTCGTGATATCGCTTTCTCGCTTTCTCGCCTCCGAATTTTAAGGCGAGAAAGCGATGGCCCTAATCAGCCACCATGGTAAAACACTGAATTCCTGCCAATGCCAACCGTTTCAAGGTCGTGTTCGCGCCTGCTTCAAAACATAAAAGTTATAAAACCCTTCCCAGAGAAATGAGAAATTTCTTCAGAAGACAGGTTGTGCAGTTCCGTTTATATCACAACTATATCCTATGAATTGCTGTCCAAAAGTGATGATACCGGGTGTTGGCGAAGGTGAGCGTGTATCTATCCCACCGAAGACATTCTGTGTAACGCAGTCCCTGACATTCGTGAATGCACCTAAAAAAACCGTGGCCTGTGACATGTTGATGTTCCTCATTGACTTATGGTAGTTCCTGTTTTGACCGTGAAAATCAAACTGTGTGATAGCATGTAACTTACTGATCATTCATTTCTCAGTAGTTATTTATCCTTTTTCTGTTTTGACCGTGAAAATCAAACTGTGTGATAGCATGTTACTTACTGAGCATTCATTTCTCAGTAGTTATTTATCCTTTTTCTGTTTTGACCGTGAAAATCAAACTGTGTGATATCATGTAACTTACTGATCATTCATTTCTCAGTAGTTATTTATCCTTTTTCTGTTTTGACCGTGAAAATCAAACTGTGTGATAGCATGTTACTTACTGATCATTCATTTCTGAGCAAATTTAGCTCCGCTCGTATCCGCTGCTTGGTTTAACCTTGCATTTCGGTCTGGAAGTCATCACGTATGCCTTTGTACACAAAATATATGTTCTTTTGAATAGTTAGCACACTTCTCATTGACGTTTCCATTAGTTGAATAAAGGAATAAAAGAAACAGTGTTTCTATACGCCCTATGGAATCAGTTTCGACTGATATGTTGGACAGATGTTTGCTTCCCTGTCACAGGCGTTTTAAAGTCACTATCATTTGTACAAAGAAGGTTCCGTGAGTGAGTGAGTTTTACGCCGCTTTTGGCAATATTCCCACCATGTTACGATGGGTAACGCCAGAAATTGTATCCATGTAGGGAATCGAACCAGTGTCTTCAGCATGACGACCGAACGCTTTAACCACTAGGCTACCCCATCGCCACATTATGTGTCCGATAATGTCGTGTATGTGTTTTTCTTCTGATATCAAATAATCAATATGTAAAGCGCATTTATATATTTTAATGTTCACCAATGGCAGCGAGGCAACATGATCCGATATAACCACATCCACGATACCATCAAGCTAATGCCAGGGTCAGGTGTCAGAGGCGTCATGCTGGACGACGAGTACTCCAGCGTCACCATTGAACACAACGTCTTCTACCACGTGAGTATAATCGTAACAAAGTTTACGCCGCAAGTATGCCTAATTTTACTATAGTAAAATACAACGTTAATTGCATGACCTACTTGTATCTCGACCGGATAAAAACAACGTTGCGAGCAAAATGGAAGAAGCAGAGAAAGACGGAATTGTCTCATAGGATAACAATTTCTTACCATTTCGACACATTGATGCTGTAGACTAATATAGGATGTATTGTATGGGAAAACGGCTGTGTCAAATTGTATGTCAAAAGAACAAGACTGGACATTTGAACATTGCAAACTGTGACCCGTATCGTACAAACATGACTGAACCCCAAATACTAGTGCCACAATTCGGAGAGGGGACCGCGTGTTTTTAATGTCCTGCATATCTGCAATCGCCTGTGTGAAGGTCACAGTCGGTCATACGATATACCAAGTACAGACCCGTGACGACCTGGGTTAGAATTGGTCTTCAGCAACGCATGCTTGTCGTAAGAGGAGATTAACAGTCTGGTGGTCAGAGTCGGTGACTTGGTTGACACACGTCGTTTATCCCAATTGCGTAGATCGATGCGCATGATGTCAATCCATCTGGTCCAGACTCCATTATATTCAGACCAGCGACATGTGGCTGGGAGACTACAGATTAGATTTAGTTGCTGGGGACAGAAGAGAAGCGGTAGCTTCTACGTGTACAATGACAATCATTTCTGGACAACAACTTCGTTTATGTTGTGCGACGTTTCCATACAGATTCCTGTACTGTTGTCATGTGTGCTTGACAATTGTATAGGAGTCTGTATCGAAACGTTGCACTACAAATGTCATTATAATTAGAGTTTCAAATAATTCACAGTTCTTTTTGTAGAATGATATTCACGCAAACATTGGTGGCGGCCGTGACAACATCATCCGCTACAACGTCATGTACGACAGTGTATCGGAGAGTATACAAGTGGACGCCAGAGGGTCATCGCCTCATTTCGACGTTCGTCGAATACTTGACCGAGATCTTGCTGTAAGACATACGTTGATATTGCAGTTATCCACATTCGTTTTTTTACACATGTACGTGATAGCAACGAGACAGTGATGTTACACATCCTACAACTGTAGTTTGTTGTAACTATTGTGCTATGTCGTGGTGCTTGAAAGAGATACAGGTGACACGAGACAGTAGTAGCTGGCGTGATTTGAAAACAAATATTACTGTTTGTCCCTGTGATAATTTTCGCAAAAGCGTTTAAATCGACACGTCGCCGGCTCAAAAATCGATGGATTGGTTGTGTCAGTTCCAGATCGGCAACTGCTCCACCTTCCGAGTCCTGCTTATCAGGTTGTCGCAGGTGTGTTCCAACGGGTTGAGATATGGGGACGTATTTATAACAATTCTTAGAGTGCTTAAGAATACTTAACTGTAAGACTTTTTAAGAATTATTTAGGTTTCACATTCAACTTTAAGAAAATTTATATTTAATAAACATCTTATTCTTAGTTTTACTCTTAAAGTCACCAAAACTGGCAATGTTTGTCGTACCTGAACGGTGCAGGCTTGCTTTCAAGCCTGGTGATTTGAGTTGATATCTAAATCCAATAGATACTGGGCATCAATCTCGCCTTTAACTACATGCTTTTAAGAAGAGGTTGTCACCTAACCACGCGTCAAGGTCGTGATCTTTGCATGATCACCTATACGAAGTCACCCTCTACATTACTGTCTGTGTGCCCCAGTCTGCTAACAAACCAAATCATTCGCCACCTGTCGACATCATAAGTCGTCTTAAAGCAGTCTTAAATCCAGAATTAAGTCCTTGGGTCAGAGTAATTCCAAATTGTGTTGTGAGGTAACATTGAGTGGTGCTTTGCTTAACATCATAAGTAAAAGCAGTCTTGAATCAAATTAAGTCGTTAGGTCAGAGTAATTTCAAATTGTGTCGGTAGGTAACATTGAGTGGTGCTTTGCTTAACATCATAAGTCGTCTTAAAGCAGTCTTGAATCCAGAATTAAGTCGTTAGGTCAGAGTAATTTCAAATTGTGTTGGGAGGTAACATTGAGTGGTGCTTTGCTTAACATCATAAGTCGTCTTAAAGCAGTCTTGAATCCAGAATTAAGTCGTTAGGTCAGAGTAATTTCAAATTGTGTTGGGAGGTAACATTGAGTGGTGCTTTGCCTGTCAGACCTCCCAGCAAGCATGGACATGTTATCTTCACTACCAACAAGTATTGCTGATGCCTTCAGTTTCTGGCCCCCACTATCACTGAAAGACCAGGTGATAGCTGCAATGTTACTGGCTGTGGTTCACTACATCATGCTCAACAGGGAACCGACAAATGGATTGTACATGTACTGATACTAAAACATGTTGGGTGATACATTTACAACTGGAAAAGTTAAACTATGAATTCCGCTTTATTTCAGTCTGTTCCATACAAAAGTGCTCTGTGGAAAGCAAAATACCCTCAAATGAGTACATTAGAGACTGGGACACCTGTCTACCCTGAAGGTAACCCGTGCAGTATGTGAGCGAGTGAGTGATTTGGGTTTTCTGCCGCTTTTAGCAATATTCCAGCAATATCACGGCGGGGGACACCAGAAATGGGCTTCAATATGTGGTGAGAATCACATTGTAACCAATATGTGGGAGAATCGAACCCGGGTCTTCAGCGTGAACCATTAACATTAACCACTGACACATCCATAGGAATCCGTGCATGGCATACCGAACATGGGTGCAGGTAAACCATTAATCTGACAAATTCGACCGTATGACCCTACATGTGTACAAGAAGACATGCCATCCACAGGTAACCAGATCTACAAAAACATCTTCTGGAACCAGGGCAATCAAAAGGGGGTCCTCTACTTTCAGCCAAATTTTGCTTACAAGAGATACTTCGATGTCCATGATGACCATGTGGTAAGTGATTGTTTCATCATCCTCTTCCTGATCATCTTCCACCTCCTCCTCCTCATCATCATCATCACTATCTTCATCATCATCATCATCATCATCATCATCATCATCATCATCATCATCATCATCATCATCATCTTCATCAATTTGAACTTACTTTCCGTATGTTGACGCTCATTAGATATTGTGGAGTTGCGGGGAGACTGACATGGTATCGAAAAATAACTTGTCCAAGAACATTTCTGAACAAAGATGCTTCAGACTGCAAATGAATTGTCTAACACAAACATTCACTTTTACTCGATTGCAAGATGTGTTTTTTAAAACTTCACAGGTTTATAGTTAGAAGTAAAATGTGATATGGTTGTGTTTGACAATAATGAACAAAGCGGACCAGCACGGTAGATATCAATATGCAACTTGGTTATTCCAAAACCTGTTTACAGGTTAACACCGAAATGAGATTACTGGTTTACCTGAAAGTCGGATCGCAACCGAAATATGAATGCCACAGACACTATGCACTATGATTACAGGACAGTGTCACAGTACACTGAATGGGAAACACTACTGTAAACTCCCCAACAACCCCAAATCCCCTACCCACTTTCCTCGTGCCCTAATGACATCATTCATCTTTCCTATTCAAATACACCTTGTTCATGATATGCCGCGATGATATTTAAACGGGAGTGTACTATGTGTATGGTGAATTTCCATTATCAAATCATTCCCCTGTATGTTTAGATTGTAATACATACTAGTATCCAGGACAAGCGTCTGACGGATATATCTGATTTCTAGGAACTCCGGAAATCCAATTTTTACGCTCCGGAAAATGGCGATTTACGACTTCGTTGTGGCGCCAAACAATGGGCAAATGGTGTAAACTTTGAAGAACCAATAGCTCTGAAAGATGTTGGCCCACGTCAAAGCACAGGTCCAACATACATGAAGACAGGCTAGTGTATTCCGATCATCTCAGCCCACCATAGAGTTACAACAACTGTTTGTTTTAACCTCATAACATGACTGTATGGCTGCAATAGTGCCGATTTGCCGTTATATCACTCACTCACTTTGAAACATGAATATTTCTGTGTTAAAATAAAATCGAACATGGTTACAGTTCTCAACTCAACTTTTAGGCGTGTTTATTACATCCTGCAGTAAGTCTTACTAATGTTGTGGTACATACTGCAATATTAATCCTTAATATTATGCGAAAGACAAGAATGTTTCAATGTGTTTGTACTATTTCATTCGCAAAATATAACCACTAATTGTTGGTTCATTTCTCTTATCTCAGTCTTACCAACAATACCGGCATCTCCAACTCCTCAGCCGTGTGATCAGTCTACGGTTGCCCCGGAAACAAAGATTCCTGCAACACCGTATATCTCCGACGGATCTGGACCAAATTTGTTATACCCTAATATTACAGACGGTGAGATATAGCTTTGTCTCCACTATGTATGTGTGGCGAGGAACCTGAAGGGTATTCTAATTGCTCGAGAGTTAACGTTAGATTAGTGTTCACCCTGTCCTCTAGCCTTGACCACCAACCCTCTGCTAAGAAACAAGTCGTATCTCTGATATTACCCGTGAAGATCCGGGTTAGAATTGGTCTTCAGCATACCATGCTACGAGTCGTAAGAGGTGACTAACAGGAGCGGGTGGTTAGGCTTGCTGACTTTGTTGACACATGTAATCGTATCCCAATTGCATAAATTGATGCTCATGATGTTGATCACTGGATTGAATGGTTCAGACTCTTTTACTGGATACCGCCGTCATATATGGCTGGAATATTGCTGAGTGGGACGTTAAACAACGAACAAATCTTCCTGATTTTGGAAGACTCCTCGTTTGTACAGAATCCTGGATACGCCTCTGAAATTGACTTGTCCCTTTCAGGGTGCTGGTTCATCACTGACCAGTGTCCGAGACATCCTCGAGCCCGTATGTTCCGGGACACGGGTGACCAGAAGAACGACCCTGTGTGGACGAGGGAGGCAAGGTGTCTCAGTCGGGCTGTGGACGAGTGGAAATACTGTGGATCCAGTAACAGCCATTCACTCACGGCTGTGTTCGGTCCAACAGGTAGGTAAACAAATATATAACCAGGTCGGTATGTAGGATACATGGCAGTGTCAAATACGTTTAGAACAGAATGTGACTTGACTGAATGATAGTGTAAATGTGTAGAAAAGAGGACACAGCCGTGATCGCTGAGACAACAAAACTGATAAAAGTGCCCCGCCAATAAATATGTCCTTTAATTCAAGATCTTACGCACGTAATATTTAATGCACTTAAATGCCTTTTGTTTGCTTGAAACAAACTTCCCATTTAATCCAAAGAATTCGTCTCTGTAACACACGTTATAATTGGGAGTTGGAACACAAATTCAGTCGTCTAACCCACTCAGCCATCGCAGCTTCCACAAAAATGGAAGTCGGAGAACTGGTTGTCTATGAATACACAATGCCATTTAGAACCTGATCAAATGTAACATATGTTATAGCCGGTCTGGTAAAGTCATATTTGGCTGTCGGCCAGTTTGGAACCGGAACTGGTTCTTTAATATACGCTTGTCACCGGAAATCTGGTACCGGAAGTAGCGCCTCGCGAGACTTGCAGGCCCTATATGCAAGGTTAACATTAAGGGTGCAACGATACACCGGTACACCGGTGCATCGCGATCTATGGCATACGATACGATACGCGATACATTTTTGCCCGTGAATCGATACGCCACTATACAAAACTGTAAACAGTGTTTTGTGTGCTGTCAATTACAGTAAATGATCTTGTTCACATAATATAGCGTCCGTGTTGTTAACATTGAATTGAATAAATGCATCTAAGCTGAGAGTGTCTATATTTGTCTCTGTTGTGCAAGTTAGATCGAAGTTTGGCACAAAACTGCTGTATTCGCTCAAATGTTTTTACTATACGTTCCGAAAATATCCAGCCTTTTTTTCAGTGACAAAACGTTTATGGTCATAAATATTTTCCATCAAACGATAAAGCATACTTATCATCGGAATGTACTACTTTTCATACCAATCAATAAAGCTTGTGTTATTAATAATTTGACAAAAATTGTTAATGATAAAATGTTCTGCATGAAACCATGGCTCGAAACACTTCACACAAACACGCCTTTCCAGGAAAACGAAAGTACACAGCCATGCTGTTTGTTCATTTGTGGCCAGTAAAATGAATGACCAATCAGATTGCATTACTGCAAATGTCAAGCTCAAGTTCACTGTCAGATGCCATGTGCTTTTTGAGCTGTCAAAACAATGTCTGAAGACGGACTGGTAAGCAGCGAAATCAAATGTGAAGTCGAAAAAACCCCGGCTTCATTCAAATCTTCTGTTTGGCAAGCATTTGGTTTTCCAGTTGAATACATTGACGGTAAGAAACTTGTTAAAAAAGATGAGACCGTCTGTCGTCTGTGTTACCTGCGAATCAGGTACACGGGGAGCACAACTAACATGTCCACACATCTTCGGCGACATCACCCCGATATTGATTGCAATGATTATGGACAATCAAAATGTTCAAAACCTTTGAACATTTCTGACGATAAGAAACGCACATCGTTAGCAGGTCAACTTAGGCTTAGTGAGGCTTTCAAGACCAAACTGTATTCTCGTTCGACACGGGCGCAAGCAATTACAAATGGAATTGGTACATACATTGCGATGGACATGGGACCTTATTCAGTTGTAGAGAACATCGGTTTCAAGTACCTCATCCACACACTTGAACCGAGATATGAAATCCCATCGAGAACCCACTTCACGGATTATGTGATACCTTTAATGTACAAGAAAGTAAAATCAAGTGTGATGGAAAGTATTGCTCGTGCGTCATCAATGGCTGTCACTACTGATGGTTTGACCTCACGTTCCACCGAGAGCTATATTACCATCATGGCTCACTACGTTAACGAAGACTGGCAACTTGAAAATCCGGTACTTCAAACACGAACATTACATGAGAGCCACACTGGGGCAAACCTGGCTAATGCCCTGGAATCAGCTGTTGACGAATGGAACTTAGGCAAATTTTCTCAGATTACCATTAGCACAGACAATGCTAGCAATATTGTTAGTGCTGTAAAGCAGTCGAGAATTGCACCTCATATAAGGTGCTTTGCGCACACAATTAACATAGCAAGCCAAAAAGCAATGCAGGTGCCGCAGATGTCCAGAATTTTGGGGAGAGTGAGAAGAATAGTTTCATTCTTTCACAGAAGCTCACATGCTGCATCTGTTCTCAGGTCAAAACAGTTACTTCTTGAACTGCCCGATCACAAACTGATCCAAGATGTTTCTACGAGATGGAATTCTAGCTACGACATGCTTCAGCGATATCTCGAGCAGCAAGCTGCAATCTTTGCCACTCTCACAGTGAAGGATATCAGGAAAAATGCAGACACCCTTGTTACTCTGTCAGAGGAAGATGTCAGCGCAGTAGAAGATGCGGTAAATGTTCTTCGACCATTGAAGACAATAACAACAATCCTCTGTTCAGAGAAAGTGCCCACAGTTTCCTTGATTCTACCATTAAAGGAGCTTATTCTGAAATCCATGGCTGTCACTGAAAGTGATTCTGGCCTTGTCAAGTCTGTGAAGTCGGCAATTGTCAAAGATCTGAAGACCAGATATACTGAGCCTGACATCAACAAATTTCTACAGGAAGCAACTGCCCTTGACCCCAGGTTTCGATCACTACCCTACCACAATGAAGCCAACCGGCTTCTTGTATTCAGTGCCCTGACCATGAATGCGATCAAGATGGCAGAAGCAAACAAGGTAAATAAACAGTTCAACAATTGAATAATTAAAATACTGTTAATGTAATTAATTAATGCTGTAAACATTTAAAACAAAAAAATCCACAGAAAAAGGGGTTTCAAACAACAAAACTTCATCATAATTTGTTTCTGAATATTTTATTATTTTTATTACATAAAATGATTGAAATTCTGAATGGTAAATACGTTTCAACAGTGTATCATGATCAATTAATCATGCTACATTTCAAATATCACTTTAGACATTTTAGCTGTCGGTTAAACTGTTATAATTCTTCTTTCAGGATGAAGTGGCTCCAGTGAGAGTGAAGGAGGAACCGAGTCATCCCACAGATGAAGCGATAGCACAGCCCCCCCTACCTGTATTGCCTCAAACCGACAGTCAGCCCCCCTGAGTGTCATGACACTGAGACTGGTGGGACACAGACTTGCACTTCAGACTCTGTTTCTGACTCTGAGACACCAGGCCCATCACAACCTAAGAAAACCAAAAGTGCAATTGAGGAGATATTTGGGGAGGTGTTCATTACACATGTGCAAGAGGCAAAGCCACTTTCTGCTTCCATTGAGGAAGAGGTGCAGAAATACAAGCTTGAGGAATGTATTCCATTAACTGAAAACCCCTGCTTTGGTGGAAGATGAACGCAGTCAGATTCCCAGCCCTTGCCTGTCTTGTGAAGCAGTACCTAGGAGTGTGCGCTACTTCAGTCCCCAGCGAGAGAGTATTTTCCTCAGCTGGGGATATTGTCACTGCTCAACGTGCTTCACTTTCAGCTGAAAATGTTGATGTTCTGATTTTCCTAAAAAAAAATATGAAACTGTAATTGTAACAGAATTATGATGCATGAAGCACACTGAAAAAGAGTATGTAGCCATTTGTCTGTTTGACAATGTTGTGTTAGTCAGATTTTCCGACTCCTTGAAAGTGTCAAAGTTTATTTCAGAATATCCAGATAGCTGACTGCTGTTAAAGTAACAGATTTGTGTAGTGTTTACTTTTAATTTTAAAACAAAAGTAATTGTTTTCAGGTACAAGAGACTTGGTACAGTTTACTAACTCTGATTGAAGATTTCTTCTTCAATTCAAATAAAAGTTGTATGCTTATATCTTGTTATTCTTTTTATTTTGTGTATCGCGATTCGTATCGAATTGTGGCAGCAGTATCGAGATACGTATCGTATCGTGGCCCACCTGCATGGTTGCACCCCTAGTTAACATACAGACGTACATAACATGTAGACTGGGGTACAATCTACGACATCCATTTCAGGTGCCATGACCATTGCTGGAAGTGGCTGCTACAATGCATTTGAACAATGCCCAAAACATTACGCCCATCCTGGTATACATCACGATAATTATGCAGAACAAGCACAAAATGCAAGTTCTGATGTGGAGGGTTGTTTATCACGGGCAAGATCAATCTGGACCTATTGTGGATCTTACCCTCAGTATCCCGTGTCAAGCATATTTATGCCAACAGGTAGGTGCTCTCACTTCTTTGTGAACATCACTGACATTTATGTCAGCAGTGAATGGGTACCCGGGGGGTAAGTCATATGACTGTTACCCTTCACGCGCCCAATAGGCAACTTGGGATTTTTTAGTTAATAATGCCTTAACCCTTTTAACATTCACAAGTGCGCTATATAATTAGCCATTTTTATTACAATTATTCGAATATGAATATGTTGTGTTTATTAAAACCAGTATGAATAAAAAACACAAGGCAACAAGCGATCAGCGAAAGTACACTGGTCTCTATATCAGAACAAAATTAATGTTCTACATGAGCCCAAAACAATGGTTTTATCAGTATCAGAATAACTGGTCAATGTATCAGAACAGTGGGTATGTCTGTATCAGAACAACTGGCCTCAATATTAGAACAATGGGTATGTCTGTATCACAATAATTGGCGTCAATATAAGGAAAATCTATATGTCTGTATCTGAACAATTGGCCTCAATATTAGAACAATGGGCACGTCTGTATCACAATAATTGGCGTCAATATTAGAACAATGGGCATGTCTGTATCACAATAATTGGCGTCAATATTAGAACAATGGGCATGTCTGTATCACAATAATTGGCGTCAATATTAGGAAAATATATATGTCTGTATCTGAACAATTGGCGTCAATATTAGAACAATGGGCATGTCTGTATCACAATAATTGGCGTCAATATTAGAACAATGGGCATGTCTGTATCACAACAATTGGCCTGGATATTAGGAAAATCTATATGTCTATATCTGAACAATTGTTCAACTACATATCAGACAAAGGTGCTCTCTATGTCCGAACAGTTTGTCCGAAGATTGTCAGAAACAGTGTCATGTTTTAGTTTCGATGGTATAGTAGTAACCAGAAACAATACACAATGACAATTGCCTCCCAGCAACGTTTTCTGATGGAAACAGGCAACGTAATATATCGACAACACAGTACTAGCTCTTGATATCAATAACCAGAATATTTGCTACAGCTAACTTACTGACAGGCCTGCTGGAATAATCTCAGTTGGATGTGGGAGAATTCAGAAGTTCTGACACCATTTACGTAAAATCTGAACGACACACACACACACTTTCAAGTTCCTAAAAACTTCAAGGAGGAAGAATCGTTATCTATGTTAACAAATCCGTACATTATGCTACATCTGTGAGTCAACAAGGACGGGAAATGTCGTTTGAACACAGGTCCCGGATGTTGATGACCTATAATACAGGTCCCGGATGTATTTGGCAACTTGATTGACCCTCACATTTTACAAGTACCGTCCTCAATGCTGGTGTCTGTTGTTGGTGATATATTACAGGTGCCAGAGTTTGATGAAAGGTGTTCACGGTGACAGGTGTTGATGACCTGTATGACAACTGTATGACGAACACATATTGCAGGTACAGTCCGTAATGCAGGCGCGGGATGTTGGATCAAGATATCTTCCTGCCCCGCTGACAAGCAACTGAAACCATTTTTCTATGACGCATGGGGCGCTACCAACATAGGATCTGGTGACAACTTCTGTCTTATTAATAACGGCATTTCAAAGGCCTCTCGTTAAATTTTTTGGATTAGTTGTTTGGGTTCAGTTTTGATGAAGGTTTCAATCGAGACATATATTTGATGTCAAAGATGGTGATCATTTTTTTCAAATTACCAAAATGCCAGTACGTTTTGCACAAATATACAAACACACAATGTGCCAATTTCCATCGTTTCCATATCAGTAATGAAATCGTACATTTAATGCTCACAGGTATGCCTGAACTTTCTGAGTTAAGACTGATTGCTGAAAGTCTCACAGAGGCTAACACCACTGGTATATTCTTAATCGTGAAGTCGAAGTATTTCATTCCCAGATGACCTTGGTGATAACTGTTTCGAGAGGGCGACCTACTTCTGGCAACGTTGTGGTTCTCACCGGAACCTTCCCGTCACCGCCTACTTCCGTCCGGATGCTACTCAAAGAACTGTACCAGCAAGCGTCTAAATGTTTACTGACATGAAATGTGCTAAATAAATCCGAAACTGTGTTCTCTGTTTTGTTTTTGTTTTTTTAATAAATATAGCAACTACGTTGTACGTGCTACGTTGTATGTGAATGTTGTTGTAACACATCAGCAAAAAATCAGGTTCTACAAGGTATTTATAGCCAAACTTGACGAAATAATTATTAGCATCGATTCACGCCATCGGGGACTTGTCACGTTGCACTACAATTGCATAGCTCTGTCTCTTTGACACAGATACACTAGACTAAAATATGCGAGACATGTGACACTAGACTACAATATCAGAGACATGGGACACTGGACTACAATATCAGAGATCTGTGACACTAGACTACAATATTAGAGACCTGTGACACTGGACTACAATATCAGAGGTCTGGGACACTGGACTACAATATCAGAGACCTGTGACACTGGACTACAATATCAGAGACCTGTGACATTAGACTACAAATCAGAGACCTGGGACACTGGACTACAATATCAGAGACTTGTGACACTGAACTACATTATCAGAGATCTGTGACTCTGATATACAATATCAGAGACCTGTGACTCTGGACTACAATATCAGGGGCTTGACTACACCATCTGAGATCTGTGACACTAGAATATAATACAAGAGACCTCTGACATTAGACTACATTATCAGACTGACTGACTGAGTTTGGTTTTACGCCGCTTTTAGCAATATTCCAGCAACATCACGGCGGTTACATTATCAGAGATACGTAACGCTGGACTACAATATCAGAGATCTGTGACACTGGACATCTGAAGACATGTCCATACCTCTTTTGTACTGGATTCCCAAACTACATGAAAATCCGTACAAGGAGAGATGTATTACTGTTTCCAGCAAAAGTACCACCAAATACCTGTCTCAAAGCTTAATCCTTAATACTATCGAGGAAGGACTTTCTCGATGTTCACAGAACGTTTTGGAGACAACCGGAATTAATACAATGAGGATTCTCGAGTAAATACTTAACAATCCCCAAAACGTTATAACAATTGCTGTTTTATCATTGTATACCACTAGCCCACATGACAAGCATAAGGAAAGACTTCATTCCTTAGAAGCACGTGTCATTTAAAGTTTACCGAGAAAACAATATGTGAAATGCAGCACTTTCGCTTTGGTAACATCTTTGTGAAATTTGGGGTAAAAAGAAGTATTAATCCTCATGGGCACCAATATGAACCAGAATAGCTGCTTGGGTTGGCAAAATCAAAACAAGATAATTTGGCAAATAAGTTTAACTTAAGCATCCGGTACATTGATGATCTAATATCGTCCAATAACCATCAAATAGTCAATTGCCTTCAACTGATTTACCCACCTGAACTTGAAATTAAGGAGACAAGTGAGACTGCCTCAACTGTTTCACATTTAGAGATTCAGAGTGACAAAAAACTCTCCACAAGACTGTATGACAAAAGGGACGATTTCAACTTTCCAAAGGTCAACTTCCCTTTCATGTCCAGCAATATTCCAACAGCTCCAGCCTTTGGTGTTTTCATTTTACAACTTTTGAGATACAATCGAGCGTGCTCATTGCAGGATTCCAAGCAGCGTCATACCACTCTTGCTCAGACGCTGCTTGATCAAGGTTACAACATTCAAGGCCTAGGTAAAGCTTTCAAGAAGTGTTATGGTAGACATGTGGAGGAAAGTTCCAAATTTGATGCATCAGTTACAAAAATGTTGCAATTCCCTATTTTGACTTATACCATATATTCCCATCATTTCAGGTGAACAATTGACCTTTTCGCGAACACCTGGTATCATCACTATTTCATAGTGATTCATAAACACATGGGGCGGTGGGGTAGCCTAGTGGTTCAGTCGTTCGCTCGTCACGCCGAAGATCCGCCGCCGAAATATACAACGAGAAGAAAGTCTCATCATTACTAGGTGCTTCCTGGAATCCCCATAAGAAGAATGGCAGGAATTACCTGTGTCAGCTGTCTGAAGCGTCTTTCATATGTTTCTTTGTCTTCTGGGGGCGGTGGTGTAGCCTAGTGGTTAAAGCGTTCGCTCGTTACGCCGAGGATCCGGGTTCGATTGCCCACATGTGTACAATGTGTGAAACCCATTTCTGACGTCCCCCGCCGTGATATTGCTGGAATATTGCTAAAAGCGGCGTAAAACCTAACTCACTCACTCACTCACTCTTTGTCTTCTGCTGATTCGACGGGGAACGACTCTGATATTACAATCTTCTGTGTATCCACATAGGCGAGATACAAGTCTTGCCGGAGTTATTGTTAAGCTTTCATTCATTTCACGGTTAGCTTTTAGTTCTTCGTTAATGAAAATGTCTTGTCATCTTCTTCAGTTATATTGCTCAATAAACTAACATGCATAAACCGTCGTGTCATATGTCAAACAAAAATTAACAGGAAAAATTGTAAATTTCCATTCAGATAATGGGGAAGAGTACAATGAAATATATTCTATTCATGATCTCTATACTGCTCTGGCGGCTGGGCCGCCTCCGTGGTGTAGTGGTTAGAGCGTCCTCCTGGAGAGCGGAAGGTCGCGGGTTCGATCCCCGACCGCGTCATACCAAAAGACGTTAAAATATGGTATTTGTTGGTCCCTGCCTGGCGCTCGGCATTAATGGGTACAACAAGGACTGGTAGGCTCGGAGTCAGTATAATGTGTCTGAGTGGGGTATTCCTGCTTCACTGCGGCATGGTATCTCAGTGGGCTAGCACTATAAAACCAGCTTAAGTCTGGTCTAGTACAAGCAGCCGCACATACACATACACACGCATGCACGTCGTCATATGAGCGAAATATTCCCAAGCACGACGTTAAACCAAATTTCACCTCACCTCACCTCACCTCACCTCACCTCTCACCTCACCTCACCTCACCTCACCTCTTGAACAAGCCCACGATACTTCTACATGAACTGATAACACACATTAAGACATCCCGAGTCACTTACAAGGATCATCTTTGGGGACAATGACCATCCTCGTGACGTGATGCTATAATTGTCCCAGTACCTAAACTTAGGAATTGTATTCAATTTTGCAGAAACTATAAACGACATACTATAGCATCAGAACAAGGTGGTAACACCTACTTGGGTTGTCTGTCCAGATTTGAAGTCATATTACAGGCAATGTCGTATTGGCCATTCAAGATATACTGTTATGAGGATGTGTTTTTGTTAACTATAATGTCACAGTAATTAACTTTTAGTTGTAATGGGTCACAAAAGTTTAAAGCGCTAAGCGTGGATTTGAACTCACACCTTGAACTTAGGCTATGTATTTTCACCTGTTAAGAGTAAATTGAAGTTACCTCCCCTTTGTTTTGCTTCCGGTGGATTTTGTAAGCAATGGTCGTGTGGCATGTTTTTTTTAATGTTAGAATTCAACATTGTGGAACTGTGTCATAGGTATTTAAGGGATGGTTGCTGATATGTATGAGGGACTACTTTGGATTTACGCTCATCTGTCTGCTAACATCGACGTTTCAAGACCGACTGCTCGTCTACATTGCACTTTCAACAGCTGACAACAAACTTCAGTCAGTACATCTGTTTTTACCCGGAATATCAATACTTTGGTGAGTTAATATATTTTAGATTTGTGACCCAATATTTTAGATTTGTGATCAAATAGTATTGTATTAGAAACATACTTTCTTCACATATGAACAATTATTAATATGATAGCGAGCTAGCTCGACCATAAAACTAGGTCATGCTCAGAGGCCACGAAGAATCTATGTCAATTTATCCCAATAACTAAATCTTGAGAATCTTGAATATTAAGTGTTCTGGAATTTCAGTCCATATCTTTGGACAAATGTGCTTCTGGATTGCATGGACGACCATTCACCTAATGAAAAACATCGATAGAAATACAGGTAAAAAGTAGAAGCTTTCCTAAAAGGAAACAAAAACGCATTAACGTTACACATGATTTTTTTTATTTGCGTATGATCAAAGAAAGTCAACATGCATTTCCAATAAACAATATTGGCAGATTTAAGTAGCGAAAACTGATTCACAATGCAAGAAGCAAAAGAAAACAAAACACAGATGAGCATAATGAATATTATGAATTCACTTTTTTGAATACCATCATCTGATAGTAATAACCCGTGAAGGTCCAGGTGAGAATGAACCTTCAGTAACCCATGCTTGTCGTAAGAGGCGACTAAGGGGATGGGGTGGTCAGGCTCGCTGACTTGGTTGACATATGTCGTCGGTTCCCCATTGGGCAGATCGATGCTCCTGCTGTTGATCACTAGATTGTCTGGTCCCGACTGGATTATTTACAGACCGCCGCCATATAGTTGGAATATTGCTGAGTGCGGTGTAAAACTAAACTCACTCACTCACTCTGATAGTAATGACTGGTTTTGTGCTTATCATATTTCTATATTGAACAAACATTTCCTCTCTCTACAAAGAGCATAAGATCAAAGAAATATGATTGAAACCTTGTAACCAGCGTCATGTGCAAAGCTCGGCAGTTTCTGCCCATCCAGTGTCATCTGGAATAGTCCCCTGTGAATAAATAGTGAACTATTTATTGTGATAGGGTGTGGGTGATGTTGTTGCATCAAAATTGCGACCTCTGAAAAATGTGTATGTATGAAGTGAAACAGGTTGCGTTCGGATCAGGTTGGCATATCTTCCCGAATTTAGTCAACTCATCTTGCCAGATGTTTACTGACGCCAGACATTCAACTACTAAACCGGTATTCTCCTTTGAAGGGAGGTTTCTTCTGAACATGGACCTAGCTGGATTGACACCATCCCTTCAGATGTTATCAGTTGAAGACTAATCTGGCAATAAATTAAAATAACATATATACTATAATTAAAAACTGGTAGATATAAAAGTACCTTGAGAATTATCTGGCCCGTCAGGGGGGCAATAATCTTATGGTACTTTAAGCCCCGTTGAGGGCATTGCCACGAACAATTTCAGTTAATGATCATATCCTACCGTTTATAAGATTGTTAATTAGCTATCTATACATCAGT